GGAAAACCAACATGTAGGTCATAAGGAATTTCACAAGAGATGGACGTGGAGAATTCCAACATTGTTCACCCGAAGATAACAAAGTATGCATCATGCAAATGAAGACTCCTCGCACTTAAAGTTTTTATTAAGCGTACAGATAGTTCACGTGGATCTCATGCAGACATCCGGGGTATGTTCGAGACTATGACCTAAACTTCGGCGATTTTTTCTCGCTGGTTTAATCAGCTTCCCTGCGTGGGTATTCACACAGACGTTAAGGAACGTTACCCCCTCTGGATATTTTTTGCCGTTAGATTTCACAGCTAATCTCCAGTACCCGGAACGGACCTCCCGAGAACATAAATATTAGTTGTATTCAAATGTAACTTGTACGTACAGTGGAGTCTCGGTCAGCAAATTTAAACCAATCCGTCATCGAGCCCGTTTTGCGAAAACCATCAGTAGGAAATTTTATAATGTAATTATAATATATCTCATTATTATAAATGTTTTACTGTTTTCAGTTGCCGTTATTGGCTTGAGTGGCGATGGGGAAGTTGGGAGGAGGAGAAGAGCTACGGTGTGGTTACAGGCGGCGGAGGATCCATGCCCTAGGCGTAGGACTCGATGAGGGCACAGACGCACACACGCACTGACAATCGTTAACTAAGCGCAAGCTCGTCAATTGAAAAGAATTTTTTGCAAATAGCTCGCTCGTTGTCTGAAATGGTCGTAGATGGGGCACCACGTCACCCGGGACTACGTAGTATATATCCTTGAGACCTATCGTCCAACCGGGCAGATAAGCTGCATATAGCTAGGCCGAAGGTACCCCTTACCTAGAAATAACACACGTGTCCCTTATTTTGCATGACTGACTAATCCCGAGGCTGCCCAGGCTTCAGTTCACACTGTTATATTGAAATTTCGCAGTGCATGCGTCAGTGAAAAAACCTCCGATAACACCACGGGGCAAAGGCCCGAAGATTCTACTCTGAGAACTCAAGCACAATGTAGCGATCTTCCGGATTATATGGATAGACAACTTTTAAAACATCGGTATACATAAAGGGCCTACCTTACTGAAAGCAATCGGGAATATCGTTGACGAAAGGACAAAATAAGAGCAAGATGAGCGGGCTGCCCTGGATATCTACACTCTTCACATGTGTATGGTTGGAACTAACATTAAAATACTTAACTCGTTATGTGCGAACACACACATGGAAGAAGAGTAAATTCATAAGAATGTTACCTATGCTGAAAGAGGCAAATTTTAGGAGGAGAAGGTCATGGCCAGCACGATCAAAATACCTAGTGAAATCAAAATAAACCGTATAATGGGCCAAACGACTATCTCTAGAGTGTCGCACATGATCAAAGGAAGATAGCTGGCAGGTGTCGCAAGATCCTTTTTCGAGGAAGCCGTGCTGTCTCACATTAAGTAGGTCGTTCTTAATTCTCGTTGAAGATTAAACGACTGTTTCTTTTCGAAAGCCTGGAATTGATAAGTTGTTCTCTGGTTGTCGTTTGAGACCATTCGGACAAACTCATTGGTGCTTATTTCCACTGCATTTACTTTTAGTGGAGAGAGCGTAATAAAGTTAACGTCAAAGGATCACACAGACGACATATGGGAAGGAAAATGTTTGGGCTGGCGTTATGGGCTGTCCTCAGTAACTTAAGTTCAGGTGACCTCATGATCTTATTACCAAATGCAAATTTGGCTTGACTTGGCTCAGTTCGAGTTGCGTGAACAAAAGATCTAAGCTGGGAATGCCTCCAGAGAAAAAATGTTGGTTCAAGACAAACTGAGCATCCACCACCGTCTACCGTCAACAAAAGAAGCAGAAGTATATGATCAAATTACACCGCACTATGTTTTGAATGACTTGTGTGTCGCTGACAACTTCAGTTTAGGGCAAACCGTAGCGAAGATTCAGCACAGATGAATTTCTAAATCGTCAGCATATATATTTCCGCCAATTTTTGGGTGGATTAGATAGGTAAAGATTCAGGCAGCCTTACACCGATGAAAAATTGCAAATTGCAAAAACGTACTACGGTGGTCGTCCATACATCGCTGGCGGCGAAAGATCAGATATTATATAGGTTCTGCAAGCCGACTTCTAGCAATAAACGCGTTTATGCCGGTGCATTTTAGTTAGATCTGTTCCATGAAGAGGGTCGCCTTATGATATCTGTCAGAGGTGGACAACTCCTTCTGGAAGGCAGCAAAATTGAAGAGAAGGAGCCTACATTTGTATTATGTACTGTTGTTACGGTGGACCTATTTTACGATTTCTGGTCATGGATAGGGAGCTCAAAGGTGAAAGCCTTCTTCCCTTAATAAAGTGACTTACAGATACGCAGAGTTGCCGGTGGGTTTTGTTACTTTTGCTGTGCGCAGTCGAACTTAAGAATCATAATCATAAGAAAAGATATTATGTTTATTTTGATCGCCGAAGCTCAATGAGTGAACGATAGTGTTTTTAATCCGAACGCCACAATTATTTTAAACAACCATATAGAAAATAGGGAGGAGCGCGAAGAACGGTTTTCTATTACCAAGGGTGATGACCTGGCGTCTGAGGTAATTGCGTGGTCGCCTGCGTGTCTTTCAAGCTTTCGGCTATCTTTTGATAGTAGTAGTGACGTGTTTAACAGTCTTTTGTAAATCTTTGAACTTGTGTCGAGTTGCTTGAACGGTCTGCATTGTATTGACTTTCATAACAAACTGAAGGTGAGTCATACCCTTATTTGCTTAACTGCAGTCGTCTAGATATCGGCCTGTTGCTCTGCAGATGAATGGGGAATTCGATTCGGACCTGAGCAGTCAGATTTGTTCGTTGACCATGGAATCCTCACGGGCAAAAGATTCAGAGGAAAACTTTTCCAACCAAGAAACGAAAGTTACGAATCACAAATCAACCAAACCGAACGATTTACCCTCCCAATTCGGATTTGTTGGACCCTTTGTATCTAACTCATCGAAATCGAGCTGCCGAGGAGATGGCAGTGGCGAAGTTCAGTGTTGTGCAGCTGACGGTGGAATTTGTCGACCCGTGCTTAAGGAATCATTCAGCTCTGTTGCGTCGTCTGCATCAACAAACCAGAGTAAGGCCGCGAGCGTAGTAAATGCAACCGCATCTTACGTAAGCGATCAAAGTAACGCAAACCCTGATTCCCCGGCCGTATGCTCAACGGGCGATCCCATTCACAACACCATTGACTCACTGAAGGCTTTATCCTTAAAGTCCGACTCCTTGAAGTCCTCGCCTAATCCTGTCAATAACCCAGGAACTGTGAAATCTTCAAGACCGAGTCCTTTTAACGCCCCTCCTGTCGAAGTACACTCGTTCGATTTTGAAAAAAGTCAGTCAGGTAACAAGCTCGATGGATCTGGCTTTCTGAGTGAAACTCTTCCGGGTAGCACGATAGGCCAGGGAAAATTTCAGGCTCAATCCTTGTCAGATGCCTCATGTTTGATGGACAACAACTTCTCGGTTCCTAATTACCGCGGTCAACTGGGTGGTGAAGGTGATATTGCTCAGTCTATCAACGCCGGTGATGGGCATTGTTTGTCTCTAGGCACTCCTGCAAACACTGGCAATAATTTGTACTGGAGCTCTCCTGGAAACAATTTGGGTGAAGACTTCAGCAGCCTCCAAGCCACACTCTCAATGAACAGTATGTCGCCTTTGCCGTCTAACTTCTTCACACAACAAGCGGGTAATTCTGTAAATGGCAGCGTGTCCCACTCGCCCAGTTCGGCATCTGTTGCCGCTGCCTTCGCCGCCGCAGCCGCAAAGCGTGCAATTACTGGTGGCCACCAAAATACGCGCTCTGGAGCTTCGTCAAGGCCACCGTGCTGGAACCCATCCGCCACTGCTGCATTTGACCAGAATTTACTCGTTTCCGAGCAATCGGGTGCTTGTCCCCTGGTTCCCTCTATAGGCATGATTAACTCAAAGCCAAGCTGGACAGGAAACTTTGGTAACGGTGGGAATTCCGGCCCGTGGAACACATCAAATATCCTTCAGCAAAACATTTCAAAGGCAAATTTCACTGATTCCCCGACCGGTAGTTTGCCATGCACTAATGGAAACCTACGTTTTGGCATGAATCCAGTCAATTTCTCAACATCCGGAATGAGTACCAACCCAATTATGAAGCCACCTAGCTCTAACGCCCTGGCAAACATCTATAACATGTTCCCCAAACGCCCTCAACATCGCATGATGGCGCACTGGCAACAGCAACAACAACACCAGAATTCTCTCCAAAATAATCATATGCAACAAGCTTCTTCTGGAGTGATGGTTAATAAGGTTCAAAATACAGTTTTTTCTGGTTCCTCAATGCTCACTCCGTCGTTTACGTCGCCGGACTGCATGCAGTCGTCGCAGCTTAGCGAAACCGCAGGTGTGGCGAACTCAAAGGCCTCGCACAACACTTTTGCGGCCGTCGGGCAAAATCCTGCAGGTGTTAATACAATATCAAATAGTTTGCTCATGGCGAACGGGATGGAAAATATGGGTGCCTCGTCGGTTGCTGCTAGTAACTCAGAAAAGCTTTCATCGTTGGATCCTTTTAAGTTTGGCTTTGATTCTCAGTGGTTGGAAGTTATTAAAACATTAGACGCCAACAGCAGCGCAACAACCAATCTACTCGACGATCTGTCTTTAAAAAATTTGCCAACCTCTGATGGATTCCAGAACGCGATGATGAACCAAATTTCGGGTGTGCCACCACCTAGCTGCAGGACTGGGGGCAGTATTTTGTCTTCAGCTGGATTTCAAAACCAACCTCTGACAGGCATGGGTCCACCGTATTCATTTCTTTCTGGCATGTCACCCCGCGAGGAAGGATATTCCCGCAAAGTCTTTGTTGGCGGACTGCCTCCCGATATCGATGAAGGTGAGCTGTTTTTCCCCGAACCATCAGCATAATTTTTTCAAGCACCAACCCTTTTGCTTCTACTTTATATGTTCGGAACCGCTCTTCCGCCCACGGTTCGACCTCATTTCTTCATTAGTTATGCTTTTTTAACGACACTGCCTATGCATTGACTTGGTTTTTTAAAAAAAACTTTCCCATCGTTTTTTGTGTGCAGAGGAAATAACAACTGCCTTCCGCCGTTTCGGGCCGCTTATTGTTGACTGGCCTCACAAGACCGAAAGCAAGGCCTATTTTCCCCCGAAAGGTTAGTGGACGAATAGTCTCATTCCTTATTACTTTCTGAGTCGATTTATATTCTTTTATGTTTTGTAACTTCTTTCTCGTGAATCGCTACCGTAATATATCAACTACTGCCCAACCAATCACCACATCTCTCGGGATGAGTCTCTTTATTCAGCCTATGGGCTGTCTTGTAGCCTTCAGAGGAGGAAGCCGGGGATGTAATTCCGAAGTTACTTACCAACGCGGTTTTCGGAAGGGCAGCGTTTCGGTTGAAGTTAATAAGTGTTTCCTCGATCATCTGAGCTATTTCGCCAGACACGATCACTTGAACTCCGATGAACCATATATTGTAACGCGAGATCCCACCAAGACGGGTGCAAAATTAAATGTGGATTTACTAACCAGATATTTTCAGGTGCATGCATCTTTGAGTTCTCATATGGCTATAGCAGTTGACTGCTGTTGATTTATTTAATTTACTGCGCTGTCGGATTCAGCCTCTGTGAGGAATAACGGAAGTGGACGGTGCCGGCAAAGTTATCGTTCTTATCTCGACCTACTGTCGCATTACCACTTGCGATTTTTTCACAGCTTCGCGCTTTATTTGAGTATTCGATCCG